CACTAGATTTCTCCGTTTCAGCCTTTATCAATTACTTACAGGTCACCAAAATTGCCTCATTCTCATATGTAATTTCAAGAAATACATTCGTACTTATTAAATTAACCAAAAATGTAGAAAAAAAAAATATTTCCTTTCAAGTAATCAATCTAAATTACAATGTATTTTAAATTTATGAAATATTTAAGTAAAACAAAATATTAGGTGATACATATAGAACATAGTAGGTGATTTGTAGTGATTTCCTTATAGAAAATATAGTGATATGGATATCATTTTGTAAATCGTAACATTTACTTTAATACAATAATTTAGTTATAATATTATAAACTTATGATATATTAGAAAAAGCATTTGAAACTAATGCAAGAGTTTTCGATTTGTTGGGCACGCAAAACCCGGAAAGCTTGCGCCTGACCGGACGGTTGTACAATACATATATTTATGTTATTTATTTATTGGTTTTTCGAGTTTGTTGGCCACGCAAAACCCAAAAATTTTGCGGCCGACCGGATAGTTGTTCAATACATATATTTATATTATTTATTTATTGAAATCTTAATTTGCAGCCGACTGGAAGGTTCACCTCCACCTCCTTCATATAATCTAATTTCTAAAAGTTATTTAGAAATTACAAATATATTAATTTATATAATTTTGTAAATAATAAAATTTTTATAACTAACAACCGACCGTACGTTTCTGCTCCTTCCATCCGACCAAGTCCGTAAGACACATTTATTTTTTCTCAGCCTTTCTCATAATGGTATATTTTTATATTATATAAAAAAAAAACTCCATCCCAAACGACCGGACGCTTCTCCTCCTTTCATCCGACTAATTCCGTCAGACATATTTTTTTTTTTTATTTTCTTTTTCGTCTATTCTCTCATTCCCTCTTATAAGGGTTTATTTATTTAAATTTATATATTCATATTCATATAATGTAATTTTTAAAATTTATTCAGAAATTTCAAATATATCAATATATATAATTTTGTACATGATAAATTTTTTATAATACAGAAAACAAAAAAAAAAAAAAAACTAAACAAAAGTATAATATCAAAGAATATTTTAAAAAAAGAAAAACAAAATCTTTATAATCGATTGTTTGGACAGCTATAAAAAAATATAGATTTTGATATATTTTATTATAATTTCTTAGTGTCCGACTGGACGGTTCACCACCTTCTTATTCGACCAAATCATCCGCCTTCTCTCTTGTTCCCGTAGAAACTGACTATACGTTTCTCCTCCTTCCATCTGACCAAGTCGGTCAGAAACCTTTATTTTTTCTCAATCTTTCTCATAATGGTATAAAAATATTATAAAAAAAACTCCATCCCAACCGACCGGACGCTTCTCCTCCTTTCATCCGACCAATTCGGTCAGACGTATTTTACTTTTTTTCATTTTCTTTTTCGTCTATTCTCTCATTCTCTCTCATAAGGGTTTATTTATTAAAATTTATATATTCATATTCATATAATGTAATTTTTAAAATTTATTAGAAATTTCAAATATATCAATATATATAATTTTGTATATGATAAATTTTTTATAATACAGAAAAAAAAAACTAAACAAAAGTATAATATTAAAGATTTTTTTAAAAAAAGAAAAGCAAAAAATTTATAATTGATTGGTTGGACAGTTATATAAAAAAATATAGATATTGATATATTTTATTATAATTTCGTTTTGTCCGACTGGACGGTTCACCACCTTCTCGTTTGACCAAATCAGCCGTCTTCTCTCCTGTTCCCATGTACTTTTATGCTCTTTCCATCCGACCAAGTCGGTCAGACACCTTTATTTTTTCTCAGTCTTTCTCGTAATGGTACATTTTTATATTATAAAAAAAACTCCATCCCAACCGACTGGACGCCTCTCCTCCTTTCATCCGACCAATTCAGTCGGACATAATTTTTTTCTATTTTCTTTTTCGTCTATTCTCTCTTATAAGGGTTTATTTATTTAAATTTATATATTCATATTCATATAATGTAATTTTTAAAATTTATTTAGAAATTTCAAATATATCTATCAATATATATAATTTTATACATGATAAATTTTTTATAATACAGAAAAAAAAAATTAACTAAACAAAAGTATAATATTAAAGAATATTTAAAAAAAAACAAAAAATTATAATTGATTGGTTGGACAGTTATAAAAATATATATATATATAGATTTTGATATATTTTATTATAATTTATTTGTGTCCGACTGGACGGTTCACCACCTTCTCATCCGACCAAATCAGCCGCCTTTTCTCCTGTTCCTATAACAACCAACTGTACATTTCTGCTCATTCCATCCGACCAACTCGGTCAGTTACCTTTATTTTTTCTCATTCGCTCTCATAATGGTTTTTTTTTTTGAAAACTGGTGGGTTGTTCCGTACATATTATTCAACTTTAATTATACTAGATAATTACAATTAATTTTAATCACATTATTCGCCTTCTTTTTTGTGGATAAAAGTAATAATATGATATTAAATAATGTATTTATATATATAAAAAAAACCATCTTTAATGAAATACTTTACAATTGGACGTTCCAAAATACAAATATATATAATTTCTAACTTCACGATAGGCCTACCGACCAAAAAAACACTTCCTGAAACATAAAGGGTGTGTTTGTTTGAGGGTTTGGATTTTGAGTTGGGATTTGAATAGTAAAAATTTTGAATTTGAATAGTTGTATGATGTGATATAAATAGGTATTGATGTGATGTTTTGAATGTAAAATTGATTTTTAGTATAATATAAAAAATAAAAAATAGGTATTTGATTTGATGTTTTTGGAGGAAAAAAATAGGATGAATAGTAGAAATCCAAACAAAACCCTCAAACAAACACACCCAAAATACACAACATAACAACTGCTTCCTTAAAAAAAATGAAACAAACAAACGAGTGGCGCAACGTAGCGCGCTTTCACGAGTACTAGTATATATATATATATAGTTGAGCCAGACCCCAGTGATCAAGCCCAATATGCAATAGTGGGTCGAGAGCCCAGTAACTTACATGAAGCCCGATGAGTGATGACAATAGGTGGAAATAGGCCAGGCTAGGTTTTGGCTAAATAGGTTCTGACCTATTTTGAAAGCATGTAGCCTAACTGTTGCCTATAAGCCTGAAATAAAATATTTTAAAAGCTTAAGCCTGACATTTTTAAAAGCCTGACCTTACGTACAAGTCTGTTTAAAAGAATACATAATACATATTACAAAGTTACTACTAGAAATAAAAAATAAAATAGATACAGTTATTTAATATATGTATATATAGTTAAAAATTCTATTTTTTTATAATAAATTTATAATTAGAATTATTACATAATATTATGATTAGATACTCCCTCCGCCCCCTTTTGAAATGTGTCATTTGGAAACATGTAAGAGATTTTGATATTTTTATCCTTTGACTTTTTGTATAAAGTAATTGTATATATAATGATATGTTTGTAATTTAAATAAAAGTTAATGGTATTTTGGTATTAATATATACTTTTTTACTAAAAAAGTAAAATTGATAGTTTTGAATAAGCCATATGAAAATAGTTAAAAAAAAAAAGTAATTTAAATTAGAACGGATGAAGTATAAAAGTATTCTTAATAAATAATATTAGAAAATTAGTTTTATAAAAATAAAAATAATAATAAATAGGTCGGCATATTAATTAAAACAATTTTTTTTTTAAGCTTAAGTCTACTTTATTTAAATAAAAAAATTTTAAATTTTTTTTTACATAACCTTTTTAATAAATAGATTAGGCCAAGCCAGATCTTGTGTAGGCCATATTGTAAACTCCTGACAGACGACCTGATCTATACCCATTCCTAACGTATTCCAAGTTTAACACCCTTCTTCACTTGAAATGTCTTCATCAACAACATGAAAGAAATTGAAAAGATTATTAAGCTTGATGAATGAGAAACTTACTCTTTAAACTCTTTGCGAGTGAATCTGCACGTTGTTGGTCCGATGAAACAAAGTGCATTGAGACTATCCCTTTAGTATTGTATCCCATTATCATATGAAAATATATTTAAATGTGCTAGTCTTTTTATGAAACATATGATTAACAACAATTTGCCATGAAGCTCTGTTATTACAAAATAAAATGACAAGACTAGTGTGATATATATATATATTGAAGTATACCAAGAATCGATGCTATTTCTGTGAAAGTATGAACTATTGTCCGATATTCAGCTTCAGTTGACGACTGTGACACTATTGATTGGTTTCTACTTTTGAATATTACAAAGGAGTTCCCCAATAACACACAAAAATCTATTACAAACTTCCTCGATCTGAGCACGAGGTCCCGTAAGAGTCACAGTAAGTTTTAAGAGTAAGATCAGCAAGAGTTAAAAAATAATAAATTCTGCTTGGAGAGCCTTTAAATATTTTAGAATTTTTAAAGCAGCACGCATGTGAGATTCTTTAGACTTATGCATAAACTGATTTAGAACTTGCATAGTAAAACCTATATTAGGATTTCTGAGCATCAAGTAAATCAATATATCACTAAGTTGTTGGTACACAATATGATATTCTACACAAATCCATCGTCACATTTATAAGCTTTATTCCCATGAAGTAGTGTAGAATATACAGATCTTTTTATTTTGAATTTTTCATGCAATTTTTTTTTTTTTTAAATTGATAATCATCTTAACATTATCTCCTCTAAGCATAATATCATCAACCTACATTAATTCAATCACAAGCAAATCATTTTCAACTTTAGTAAACAAAGAGCAATCATGCAAAGATTGTGTAAAATCAAATTCAATCACAGATGACATTAACTTTTGATTCTACTGTCTAAGGGTTTGCTTAAGCCTACAGAGAGATTTTTACTTTTTATTCTAATGTCTACAGAGATTTTTAAGAAGATAAGACTTAATTTTTACACTTTGTATAGCCGTGAGATGGTAACATATAATAGTTTTAGAGAGGATCACTATGCAAAAGTACATTATTGACATATAACTTGAAAATTTTTCAACTAAGATATTACACAATGAACAACTGTCATTCTATCCGGATACTTGGCTATTTTTCAAAAACAAATGATAAAATAAAATAGTAAAAATTCGTCTTAAAGACACGAGTTGAAGATCGTCTTGCAACTTAAATCTTTTACTGTAAAAAAAAAAAAAAAAAAAAAAAAAAAAAAAAAAAAAAACTCAGCATACTGAGTGTATATATAGGGACTATTGAGGACAACACATTACATTTAAAGTCTAGTTAAGATCATGAAACTCTTGGTGTTGTTACTAGCATTCGAGTTTCTCTTCGACGAGATCGATGCAGCGATACAAAACCAGCTCCACAGGGTTCAAGGCGCAGATGGTATCGGATGCCAGTTGGTCGCAATCTTTAAGGTTTTCAGCCATGATTCCGGTGACTAATGTTCGCAGTGGTAGAAGCCATTCGGAGTGAGCCTTGCGCAATTTGTCCTCAGACAAGATCCCGGTAGAGTTGGAATTTCCTATACAACAATTCACAAAAAGAGTCGAAAAGCAATAGTCAAAAAGAGTTGTAACTAAGTAAAATTGACAGAATTGAATCATGGTAAGGTTTATGAATCCAAGGAGCCATTTTCACCTGTTGATTCTGTAATAAGAATGTATCTGTAGAGATTAAGGGCCGATAGAACCTGCAGCAAATGAATAATGATGCTGATGTCGAGACACACAAGGTCAGGCATGAATGTGTGAAAGGTGCTTACTGAATCGCTGCAGTCGGGAAGAGATGGAGGCCCACCCTTTGGAGGCCTAAGGATGACTTCAACCAGTTCGAGCACAGATGGATTCCAAAATGATGTGTATTGATTTATTTCACTGTTTTCGACGACATCTCCCTCGGCTGATGTTCTTTTGGTTAGTCCCTTCAACAGTTCGTCTTTGACGCAACCTAAAAGTAATGCAATCTGTGACACCGGGCAGGCCCAAAGCTTATTTTCAGTCCAACAGGATTGATGAAATGATCATCTCGAAACAAGTGTGTGGAGAATAATACCATTGAAGAGGAGTCGGTGTTGTTTATCAATGCTTTTAGGACATCAAATCGCCAAGAAGTTGGGATGTCTTCGAGCACCTGATATAAGAAACAGATTGGATAAATGGAAGCATTGGGAAATGGCGGATATAGGTGAGCTAGTCTCTCAATTGGACTGCTTTCATATGTAATATTATAGCTAATATTAGCAACACATTGAATTCACCACAGTTGCTCCGAACATTAGTTTCAGAATCTCTGGTAGAATTAGAATGCATAGACAGGCTAAGATAAGAAATGTAACGTGAACAAATGCCTAATCTTTGTAAAAATAATTGGGTCCCAACAAGGACCTCCATCATTCACATTTCTAGTTACCAGCGTTGTTGTGAACAGCCATATGCACCTAGGCATATACATTTTGTTACAGAATTCTCATCTCAAACATGATTTCTTTCACATTTAGTTCTAAACTAAGTTCTCCATTTCGTTGAATATATTTGAGATGCTCGAGCAATATATTAGTCATGCCATTTTTCTTGTTTCCAGTTGTTCATTCTACACAAGAATTGGAACTATTAGATGAGCAGCATCTCATCCATCGGAACTAATCATTAGAGCCTTGCTTCAATGTGCAACTTATTCGACCAGTAGTAATAATATCAATCAGGTAAAAATGCAACTTCAAAGTTCAAACAAAGCATCACTAAAATGTTTACCTTTCTGAATGCACTAAATGCACTCTTCCTTAACAGAGAATCTGGAGCATACATGATGACCGTTCGTATAGCCTAAGACCAAAAAGTGAGTTAGAAACTAAACAGTGTGTGAAAAAATGTGAAAATTCAAAAGATGAAAAACAATTACCTGCAAACTGGAAAACATAGTTGGCGTATACAGTGAGTAGTCTGCGGACTCATCATATGATTGTTTTTCAATGCCATCCATCAGGTGCAGTAGAAATTCGGTGCCGTGCCGCTTGAATTCCCATGGAAGATTGACACATGAAAACAGGTGGTTCAACATATCTAATACATCCCATCTTCTAGTCCAGTTACCTTGAATTTCCATCACGACAGCATTCACATCAGCTTTGGCAGCCTCGGCAACTTCACTATTCTTGTACCCCCAAATGACTGGATGAATTATGTGCAGGGAAATAGAAAATGAGATCGAGTCAGTACTTTGCTAACAGAGCAGAACCGATAACGAAAGAATTGTAAGTTGCCCATTCGGAAACCTGAAAGTACCGCTCCGAGCTTGACTTGAGAAAAGCAATTCGTACCATCTTCACTCTCTTAGGAATTTCAGACCAAACAGGACTATAAGTAAAACTTGCACCTATAAGGATGCATATAACTCTCCAACAAAACAAAATTTAACGACCTCAAAAATGTTTGTTGCTCATGATTTGTACATGGTAACAACTTACCATCAAGAACTAGCGCAGACATCAGGCTAACTTCCCTGCCAGTTATCAATCCAACATAAGATGATTCACAATAGTGAAGCAAGTCGGACAATTCCAGCACCACCGGAAGACTCCTTGATATGTCACTTGTAATTCCAACTGAAACAAAATACTACAAATCAAGGATCAGTTACTATCAGAAACATTATAGCACTATGTGATCTTGAACAAGACAGATAATATAGAGCACTTTCACAAGAATTATCTACCATGACTTGCAAGACATATAGTCCTAATAAACCCCGAAGATTCTTGTTATTCTCCCCTTCCTGCACAGGACATGAATGTATGAAGAGAATATCATTGATAAATATATCAAGAAATTACGTAGTACACTACATACCAACTTTAAACAGATTCCTCGTATTGAGTGGGAAATGCGAGCTGCTTCAAGAAACAACTTCTCACAATCGGTATCTCCATCTTCTGACTTAGAACACATGATCTTTAAAACATTAAGAATTACAGGAACTGCAGTTTTCACTTGCTCGTAGTGCCGCCTCTGGATTAAAGACAGAACTAAAACGAGAAACACATTAATGACTATAAATGAAGCAAGATTGAAGCTAACTCATATGTCTGAGTGGCTCTAGCACTCATCTTGTCTAATTAAAGATTGAAGCTAAATCATATGTCTGAGTGGCTCTAGCACTGCAGTTTTTACTTGCTCGTAGTGACGCCTCTGGATTAAAGACAGAACTAAAATGAGAAACACATTAATGACTATGACTATAAATGAAGCGAGATTAAAGCTAACTCATATATCTGAGTGGCTCTAGCACTCATCTTGTCTAATTGCTTGCGTACAAGCTTTACTTGGTTTCATATTCCATAATAGGAGGAAAATCACATGTACCATAGAAAGTGTATAGTCAATAAACGATTTCAGAAACAAAAGTTAACCCGAGATCATAGTTATCAATCTCATACAGTGTTACAAAGCGGTCAACCTATAAATGCTACAACGGGATAGTAGATTGCAAGATGGCTTCTATTTAAAAATTTAACAATATTCATATAAAAATTATTATATATACAAAATTATAATAAAAATACATAAAAATGATTATAACTTAATCTCCTGATTATCATTTATACCAATAAAATTGCAAGAAATATATATATTTTTATAGTTCATAGATAGATATATAAGCAAAAACTATTAGATTACAACTACTTTGATAAATACATAATAAAAGTAAATCAGATTCAAAATATGATAAATAATTTTCTTCCTCCTTTTCACCGTCTTCACTGCTCCTTTTGTATGAATATTCCTCTTCATCTTCATCTTCATTCATTTCTTCCATTGTATGTTCGTTACATTGCAAAATATTATGTTCCTCTAAAACTAGAAATAGCTATAGTATGATACAACAGTATAATAGTATAAAATCTACATTACCATATAATAAATACAATATTATATTATAAAATCTAAACCTACTTATAATAAAGATTGTAATAGATTATTCAATTTAAAAAGCGCTCCACGCAATTAAAAACCACTGCATCATTATTGCATAAAAGCAGCATCGAAGAGTGCCGGTAGTGACAGAATGCCGTACCATTCTGCTACACCGTTATTAACGCACTATTGACAACTATGCCCAAATGAAAACATAAATATCTGGATGAGGACTAAAGTGTTTCATTAGTCAAAAATGGGCGTAATAATTATCAAATGGCTAGCAGTATAATCATCCTATAGAAACATAGGTACCTTTAGCCAGGCCACTAAGAAGAGGGATATAATAGCCAGGAACAACAAATGGCTCCCTTGGAGAGCTGATTGCCTGAAAATTATAAAAGGAAGAGACAAATGTCATATGAAAAATCACACCAACAGACACAAGTTTAGTGTTCATAACAAAATGCCAGAAGCAAATATTTCAATTTCTTGCTTGTAAACAGAAAGAAATGTGCAAATTTCATAGATCAACTATATCAATTACGACAATCAGGAGAGTTGAATCTTTGTACCAAAATGCTAGAAAAATCTGAACAGAATTAGTATTCTTTGTGATCAAAATGCCTGAACAAGCTGTTATTATTCTATACATAAATATATATCTATATATACAACAATTTTCTACTCCTAATCTTCACTACTTTTATTTGGTTTACCAATATAGGTAACTCAGCCTTGTAAGATCTATAAATAACAGATTTTTTCCCCTTTTTTTAATATATATAAAAAAGGAGGGCTTAAACAACATTTAAGTACATATTAAATCATCATTTTCACCTCCTACAGGATAGAAGAACAGCTTAAATGATAGGCACATACATATATAAAGGCACACATAGACATAATCTAATGATCGCCATAAACACAAACGGATCGTACTTACTAAATTAACAAAGTAGCAGCTGCTATATACTATATAATTATGTAAACTTGTTCGAAAACTCCATAAGGCCGCAATAAGGTTGCACTCAATGGCTAAAAATTTAAGAGCACCACATAGTTTACTCATCCACTGTAAGTGAAGTCATAGAAGTATAATTTCCTCTCAAGAATAAGAACCAAAAATATGTAGCCATGAAAGGGTACTAGAACTCTTCAACCTTAAACCTAAAACTACAAAATCAGATGAATAAATTTCAAGAAAACAACTCAAACAAGAATAAAAATTGATTATCAGTACATAAACGGTTTAAAAGATCAAAGCCAGTGAATACCTCACAGAGAACTGAAAGCATATCCCGCGGACTAACGCTCTGTACAAACCTATCGACTATATCTTCAGCAGCTTCCAAACACTTAGCTGATACACAAGAAAACCTCGCCACTGCCTTAGGCAACTCAAACGCTAATGCATCAATAACCTCCTGAATAACAATGCGCCTCCACTCAACCACCAGTATTCAAGAGAGCAAAACACACAACAGCACCACTTGGAAGAAACAATTTAAGGCGCACCATTTTAAGCCGTGGGGAGGATAAGTACAGCCGAATTTGGCCAAGAATTTCAATGGCAACTTCTTCAGAATCCTCGTTTCCATTATCCTCCTCCGTGATCAGTGACTGCGACAGAGAATTGAGGAAATACACGAGTTTCTCGATTGATTCCTCCGAATAGATGTACTCACCTTCTTCAACCAACTGCATACAGCACATAGCAGCTTAATCATTGCCATACAAATGCTTCATTTACTTAAAAGCTCACACAAACTTGCTTGGAAATACAAGCAAGAAAAAATCACCTCCTTGGAGCAGGACGCTAGGGCTTCATCCAGCGTAGCGGCGATGGCAGTCCTACCTGGAATCATCTCGAATTCAGTCAATGGAGTCCCTCGGATCAACTCCAATCTTTGTTCGTCAGTGCTGAAGAATTCAAATATAAGAATCTCCCAAACCACACTAGCAGATGTCTTCACCCTTTACTGCCGCAATGACCACCTGCGATACGAATCGGGTCGACCCGCCTATTATGCCCACCCATTTCTGTGATTGACCTACTATATACCCGTAAGAATTGGGGCTTTAATGGGCCGACCCATTTTATCAGGCCCAATTTTGAAAGTGGACATCTTCCATAAGCTTAATTAAAGGGGAAAGTCCATTATACCTCCGGTGTTTTAATTTAAAAGTATAAAAATCCCTTTATTTTAAAAGTAGCATAAATAACACTGGTGTGTTTAGGGTTTGGTTCTACACTATTTTACTATTAGAATTTTTTTTTTTTTTCAAAAATATCAAATCAAACACTCAATTTTTATTTATTTTATTACATTAAAATATAATTTGACATTCAAAACATATTTGTATCACATCAAACAACTGTTTCAATTCAAAATTTTACTATTTAAAATCAAAACTCAAAACTAAAACCTCACAAGTAAACACACCCACTTCTGTTTTGTAAAACCTAGCCTAAAATAACCAACCGCAGTCAATGAATCAACTTTAGGCCGTTTCAAAATTACTTTAATAATCCTATTATATCTTCTTCAAAATTGATAGACGCAATTTTAGTAGAATTGATTTGTATATATTTTTTGGTTTTAATATTTGTTTCGACAATAAATTTTACTTAAAATGCTATTTTTGGTATTAAGTGCACGATATTTGTAAAAGAGGGCAAAATAGTCAAAGAAATAAAATATTGCAATTTAATACTTGGGACAAAAATAAAATTATAGAAAAAAATGGAAAAAATTGTTATGAGATATGGATAAAGATTGCAAAATAAAAAGATTATAATTTTTGAGATATAAAGGGAGGTGGGGCCACTTTGAAGAACAACAAGAGAGAACAAGACAGTCCCAGGGAAAGATCGCAAGGCGCATGAGGCAAGGAGGAGGACTCAAGAAGATTTTGATTTCTACCCCTACCGATTGATCATTTTTAGGCGATGTCTACTTTCTGAGATTAAACTTTTTTTTTTATTTACGATATTTCTTTGGTTCCTAAATATTTATGTGGTTTCTATTTTATTTGATTTATAATCTATATATTAGTTGTGTATTTCGACCGGATATTTCAATTGAATTAAAGATTGACTGCTAAACTAAATTAGGCGTCCATAATTGCATTTTAATTTGGTTAAAGCAGCAACTAGTGGTAGGCACCACTAGGAAATCACATAATCAATTTTAAAGAATTTGCATAGGTAATTGTTAAATTAAATTAGGCTCTTCTAGTTTGCAAGACGGTTAGACTGGTAAATTCTTTGTGGTGTCACTATGATTTTAGTCTAATTAGAGAAGCAGTTGACGGACGAATCTAGACAGTCAAAAAAATTAAGGAAGAGTTGGTTATTAGGCGTGCGTCGGTAACTATAATTAATTTATTTAAAAATCAATGAAATTAAATATTTATCGGGTGTGTTTGTTTGGAGGTTTGGATTTTGAGTTGGGATTTGAATAGTAAAAAAATTGAATTGGAATAGTTGTATGATGTGATATAAATAGGTGTTGATGTAATATTTTGAATGTAAAATCGATTTTTAGAATAATATAGAAAATGAAAAATAGATGTTTGATGTAATGTTTTCGGGGAGAAAATTTTGGATAAATAGTGGATTTTTGGCAAAATAAGTTTGATGATCAAGTTTAAAATCCAAATTGTCAATTTCATTCCTAGGCTAGGAGTTCGCCTTTATTGAAGTTCAATCATAGAATTCGTAGATTTTTAATTTGCTAGTTTTATTCTCGTTTAGTTTAGTTTAATTTCACTTCCTCCCAACCCCCCCTCCCCCCCTTATTATTTATTGAACAATTGAAGACAAATACCTTTTGATTTCCTTGAGTAGACGACCCTACTCCAACTATATTATTCTATTTTTATTGTTGGAAGTAGGTGTATATACTGTCAATTTTTGGTGCAGTTGTTGGGGAACTCTAATTGGTTTATTTTATCTTTGGTTATTTCATATATATATATATACATAATATTTTGATTTTCTCTGGTTTATGTCGCGATCTAAACACACAGGAAACTTGACCTTCGATCCCGAGATTGAGAATACTGTGCATCGATTAAGAAAAGAGACTAGAGAGCGTCAGCAAAAAGAAATTGGAACAGAATTGTCAAGCGAGAATTCTGATTGCGAATTGGCCTATGAATCATCTAGCAATTTTAGTTGTGAGGAGATCGAACTAGAAGAAGAGATGGACCGAATGACACTAAGGGAGCTAGTAGCTCCTAGTTTGACTCAACAACCCCTCTGCATCACCTTCCCAACTGTGGATGGTGACACTAGTTTTGAATTGAAATCGGGACTAATCCATTTGTTCCCTTATTTCGATTGTTTGGCAGGTGAAGAGCCACCAATATGAAGCGGCATGGAGTAACAGAAGATCAAATCAAATTGTGTGCTTGTCCCTTCTCACTAAAAAGTGCTGCGAAAGATTGGCTCTTCAATCTACCTGCTGGAAGCGTCACTACATGGACTGACATGAAGAGAGTTTATCGAAAAATACTTTCCTGCCTCACGAGCTGCAAACATAAGGAAAGAGATATGTGGGATCAAACAACAAATAGAAGAGTCTTTATTTGAGTATTTGGACCAATTTAACATTTTAATTATGTGATGTCCTCAACATCAAATCCCTGAGCAGTTACTAATTCAATAATTCTATGAAGGTTTGACTTCTATCGATAGGAGGATCATAGATGCAACAAGTGAAGAAGCTTTGATGAACAAGATCTCCAGAGATGCGTAGGACCTATTGAATGACAAGGCTATGAACTCACAACAGTTCAGCCTAAGAGACGTAGTGGCAGTGAAGGAGGCAAGTGAGGTAAGTACCCTACAACAACAATTAAGCGAGCTAACTTTAATTGTTCGACAGATAGCTATAGGGAATGCACAAGTTAACGGATGTGGAATATGCATTAGCATGGAACACCCTTCTGATACCTGTTCCACAATGACTCAATGAGTGGATGTCAATGCTGCGGGATTCGGCCCTAGAGCATACAATCCCTTTTCAAACACCTACAATCCAGGATGGAGGGGATCACCCTAATTTGAAGTATGGAAATTAACAAGCACACGTCAGAGGCCCTTCACAAAGATTCCGTCCACCCAATCACCATCAACAACCTCCTCAAGTGGTTCAAGATAATTCTTTACAGAATATAATGAAAACTATGGTGTCTAACATACTGCAATTTCAATAGGAGACTCGGAACAACATAAAGAGCTTGGAAGAACAAGTAAGTCAAATAGCGAATGAGATATGCGAGATGAAGTCATAGGAGAAAGGTAAATTGTCTGCACAACTTGACGTTAATCCAAAGAATGTGAGCTCGATGGTTTCACGAAGCGGAAAGGAATTAGAAGGACCTAAAGTTGGAATTTCAAAGGACAATGATGAAGAGGGATCAAAAGAGAAATAGAGAAAGTTGCTCATGAAAAATCAAACAAGGTAACTTCTGAAACGCCTACTTATCCTAAGACTAACGCGCACCATATCCTTCAAGGTTAGAGAAACCAAAGAAGAGTGATGAGAACAAGGAAATGATGGAGATGTTTAGAAAATTGGAGTTGAGCATACCTTTGTTGGATGTTGTCAAACAAGTGCCGAAGTATTCCAAATTCTTGAAGGAACTTTGCATGAACAAAAAGAGTTTGTGAGGAGACGAGTGCATTATTGTTGGCTAGAGCGTATCTGCTGTTTTACAATGTAAGCTCCCTCATAAATGTTGTGATCCGGGTATGTTTTTGGTTCCTTGTAAGTTAGGTAAGTTGGAGATTAAGCAAACAATGTTAGATTTAGGAGCCACAATTAATGTAATGCCTAAGTCTATTTATAAATCTCCGAATGTTGGGTCCTTAAAAGAAACTAAGATTATTATACAACTAGCCGATAGACTAATGCTTACCCTAAAAGAATAATTGAAGATGTCCTACTGTAGGTTAATGAATTAATTTTTTCAGTGGATTTTTATGTGCTTGACATGCATGATGATAATTCTCTAAATCCTTCACCGATAGTACTTGGTAGACCATTTGTGTGAACTGCGGAAACTAAAATAGATGTTAAGTAGGGTATATTTTCTATGGAGTTTGATGGTGAGAAAGTGCAATATAATAATTCTGATTCTATGAAATACCCTGGAGAATCTAGCGCTTTGTATAGAGTATCATTGATGAGAATGTGCAGGAAATTTTTTATTCAAGTGGAAGAGACGCTTTAGAGATTGTTTTGGTGTACCATCTTGATGTGCAACTCAGTGCAGAAAATGGGTTGAAGAGTGATGCAATTTGATGTTGAACTCGGCCAAAAATTCAACAAATTTCTCCCCGGTAAACATCAAACCCTGATCGGTCGTCACGGTATGAGGAATCCCAAATCGATAAATAATGTGATTAAGTACAAACTCAATCACCTCTTTCTGTGTCGCATTCTTCAAATGGATTTCCTCTACCCATTTGGTGAAGTAATCAGTGGCTACCAAAATGAATGAATGTTGCTTTGATGACGCCGGATGAATTTTCCCTATTATATCCAACGCCCAAGCGTTGAATGGCCATGGCTTAACCATCGCCTAGAGTTCTACTGCTGGCAAATGGTTTAATGGACCATGCCTCTGGCACTCCTGACACCCTTTAGCAAATCTAATACAATCATCAAAAATCTTCGGCCAATAAAATCCCATACGATGAATAGCCCATCGCATATTTAATCCTGCTCGGTGTACCCCACAAATTCCACCATGAACTTCTTCCATTACTTTGATGGATTCTTCTGGCCCCAAACACCTCAATAATACTCCTTCAAAGGTTCTCTTATATAGAACCCCTTCAATAAGCTGGAAACGTAATGCTTTTAGTCGAACGCTCACAAGAGTCACAGAATTTGGTGATTCCAGATAGATCGTAATTTCTGTTCTCCAATCAGTATCGGTATCGATGCTACCGAT